TTTAAAAAGCTGTTCACAGAATTAATGACAGAAAACTTCCAAAACAGAGGGGAAGAATTTGACATTCAGATAAGTGAGGCATATAGGACCCTAACAAGCTACAATAAAAAAAAATCTACACCTAGACATATAATAATCAAGAACCCATAAAGCCAACAGAAGAACAAAATACTACAAGCAGTAAGAGAAAAGAAACAAATCACATGCAAAGGAAAGCCCACCAGAATCACAGCAGACTTTTCAACACAAACCCTTGGGGCAAGGAGAGCCTGGAATGAGATATTTCAAGTACTAAAAGAGAACCTCCAACCTAGGCTGATGTATCCTGCAAAACTCTTTTTCAAAATGGATGGGGAAATAAGACACTTCCATAACAAAGAACACCTGTGAAACTACATGAATACCAAACCAGCACTACAAGCAATTCTAAACAAGATCCTAGAAAAGACAATGAAGGCAACAACACCATCAAGCCCAACAGAGAAAATCAAATAGGCAAGGCAAGAAACTAAAAGGAGAAGGTGAAAAAGTAAAAAGAATCAACAAAAGGCCAATAACATATCAAAATAAGTCAGTACATATCAGTTATAACCAGCAATGTTAATGGCCTCAACTCACCAATCAAGAGAAATAGACTGGCAAAATGGAGTAAGAAGCAAAATCCAACAATATGTTGTATACAAGAAACACACCTAGTGCAAAAAGAAGCCCATAGAATGAAAGTGAATAGGATAGAAAACAATTCTCCATGTGACAGGAACCCAGAAAAAAACAGGGGTAGCAATCTTATTTGCAGACAAAGCAAATTTCAAACCAAAACTGAGTATTATTGATGTAGGATGGTACTGTATCATACCTCTGTGAATGTAAAATATCTAGTACCTGCTTTATGATACATAGACCTGCTTTATTACATAGTAGTGACCATGCTTTATCAGAGCTATTTTTAATGATATTACTCTAGGATGTTCTTTACAGATGATGATTAAGATGCTAATAAAAAAATAGTGCTAGGTAACACAACAGCAACAGAACTTTGCTATTTCCTGAATATTATTCTTTTCTTTTGTTTTTTTTTAATGAAATGTGCTGAATGTCTATAATTTTGTTCAGATGACTGCAGAACCTGGAAAAGCTGTTGCTGCTATCGATGCATAACATACAGCTATTATTAGTTTTTATATAAATATAAAAAATATATATATAAATTGAATTTTGGGACTTTAATGATGCTGTCAACTTGGAAAAAGCTATCCCAATTTACTGTGTTGAGCTGGCATTGTACAGAAATGGACAGCCATATTGGTCTAGAAATGTTAATTTTTTAAAATTTTTCTTTGTGTACAGGGGTAACACATTGCACTAAATATGTAAGGTTATATCTGTGTGGGTTTGATTATAGAAACTAATAAAGTATTCTCTAAATAATGAAAAAAAGAATTAGATAAGACTAGAGAAGCAAGAAGCAATTTAAATGTTAAGGGACCATTTTCATCTCCAGAATTAAGGATTATTTTAATGTTACATCATTGCATTTTCTCTTTTACTTTCCTTTATAGTTTTATTTTAGGATTCCCTATTTGTAATGTTCATAGAGATTTTTTTAACTGAAATACCGAATAGTTGCTCTGGTGTGAAAAACTATAATAGTACACAGGATCCTAATGTAATAATTAATAATGTGAAATAGGAAGTAAAGGGCTAAAGGTGTAGGGAAATTGGGAAGGATGGGGAAAGGTAATAAGGGAGAGGAAAAAATATGTGAAATTGAAAAAATGGAGATAAAGTGTTTGTAAATGGGGAGGGAAGGAGGGGATGAAGGGAGGGCAGGGACAAGGGGAAAAAGTGAGAATCAAGACCTATTATGTAAAGGTACAGGATCCCAATGATGAACGTAACTGTATTGTATACCTAGATTGTACAAATAAACTCAATAAAAAGGAAAAAAATTACACATTGCCCTATCTTTGGTTTGGATTAGATTCCAAAGATCTAAAATGGCAGATTAATTTGTTTTTGCCAATTTAATGACTGTTTCAAAAGACTGATTCTTGGCTCTATCACTTCTATAATGCTTCGCCTACTAAATATTTCAAAGGACTTCAACTTGGGCACTTTTAAATAAATAACTTGCTTTCTGTCAAAGTTGCTTTGTTAGAAAATAGAAGCTTCCTTACTTGTGTATGTAGGATTAGATGAATCTCACTTTTCCTCATTAACTAGAATTTCAATAAAAGAATGAATCCAGATATACTCATTTTCTATTAATCTGAATATGATAAAACAAGAGAAATTATTTTCCCTAGTTGTGCTTGTTTTAAGCTTTGTAAGATTTTGTTACAAAAATCATACAACCTGCCCACTTAAAAATAAAGTGAACACTATAGCTGCTGCCAAACTAGAAGATGCTGCCAGACTTATCCCAGAATGGGTGGAATATTTAAACAATCTTAATTATTTAAAATGTTTAATATAGTTAATGTATGAAACAAATCCTAATTATGTAAGACATGACTACTGGGCATTTAAAACTATATTGCTCTTTTTTTCTCATTGTTTGGATCACTAGGATTTCACCAGTTAAAGTTTGATGTGCCAGATAACCCATTAGAAGGTATCTGATTAGCTGGTCCTCATAGGGCTTTTATTAAACCAGCAACTGCCTTGTGTATCCGAGTTTTATATGTAGCCATATTTCCTTTTAAAAAAATGCATTCAAAACTAAAAGTAACCTGTTTTTTTCTTCTAATAAAGAAAAAAGATTTGTGGTTATCTCTTAATAGTAAAAAGAAGTCCATTTATATTATAGTCTTTTAAAATGGAAGTAATGTTATGCTATAATCATTTATCATAAACTATATGACACTTAAAAAAATAAGGTGAACAGTGAATAAAATTACATTTGCTAATGAATCAAACAGTAATCCCTGACATTGCTTTTGATTTAAAATGTGAAGTAACTATGATTTAGAACCTGAGAGATTTACCAATAAAAAATTTGAATTATTTGTTATGCTAATAAAAAGTCACATTAATTATAAATACAGGCTCAATACTCCTTTATTATCTATCAATAAAATGGAGTAATTAAAGTTAGATACACATTAGTAAGTACTTTCTACGTCAAGTATTTAAAACTAGAACTGCTTATCAATTTACATTCTAAAGGATAGGAGCTAAAAATGTTTATTAGCATTGTATCCTTTTGTTCAGTTATTTCCACGTGCATTTTGACAGAAGTAGATATTTCTATAATACTTGAATATCAAACTATGATAAGGGCACAATATAGTTGCATATACAACTTGATTTCAAAATAAGAAATGTGAAAATAAAATAGAAATGAGTTCATTTGAAGATGAAATATTATGTAATTCTAGACCCACATTTTCTCTGCAACTTTGAATCCCTTGCCCTTATAAAGTATTACAGTTTCAGGAAAAAGTTCAAAAACTGGTTCATTAGAATTTATTTAACATCAACATGTAAGCTTACCTGGGTCAGATACAATTTTATCAAACAAAGGTGATAAACATGGAAAGGCTATACATATTTTAGTCTTTGATCCTAAACACGTAGAATGAAAGCAACCTTTGCCAAAATAAATAATTTGCCAAATCCTGCGTTAGTATTTGGTTGATACTGGGCATGCCAAGATTTAGGACCATATATAGGACAGGAGAACCTTCCTCTAACTATTCTATTTATTGTTTGGCTTTTCCATCCCCAACCCTGTCTGATTGGTAAGTGGAGGAAGAATTTTGAAAGGAAATCAAATACTTCCTAAAGAGAATCCAGGTCCTTTTAACACTGTATGTATACTTTCATAAAATATTAAGCTAGGACACAAAGAATGACAAAAATAGTACATGAAATACTATCAATTATATTGCTTTCAGCCAAGATTTATCTTTCTCAGACAAGTACACAAAGTAGGGTATACAATTACCTTACTTAAGTAATTACACTCACTGGGTTCTGGGAAAATATGATCATTACTATTAAAGTACAAAATATAAATATCTGATTAGTGCCTCCATTTTATCTAAAAAAAAAGAGGGTAATAATATTGCATCTACTTACTGAAGGAGCGTTTTTTAACAAAGCTGTTGGGGGATCTTCTGGTGTTGCTTATTTTCAAGAGTATTAAATGAATTTGTTAAATTTCATATAAGTTTATTTTCCTCCACTCTCTGGTCCTATTGTGGTCAGTAGACTTTTTCATATCTACTAGGAAATTTTCTATTTCCTATTCATTTTAGACCATTAAAATGATAGGAACATGTAGTAAAATTATTTAGGTATAATAGACCTTCAGATAAACCTAGTAAAGAAGCAAATTTGAAAGTTCAAAAATTTTCTATTTCAATTATCTTTCTTTAAGTATCTGTCCTAAACTAAAAGTAAAACAAGACTATTTTTAGTCAAACAAGCATTAAACTTGTTTATCCAATGGCTTGTCTGCAGTGCAAATGACATCTCCACCTAGTATCCTTTGGGAGACTCATGGCTTTTGTCATCTCAATTTATCAAGTAATATACATATTACCAAAATGTAAATCCAAATCAAATACCCTATGCTTACTTCTGGTCCCACACTTAACCTCATACGTATGTCTTGAGAGATTGAATTACTATGTTTTCAAATCAGAACAAATATCAAAATGAGATTCAATTTAATGAAGATAATTATGTGCAAGAGTCAGGGATAAAGTAGTGAACACACATTACACACTAAAATAAAGCAATCAACTCTTGCCTTCTAATGAAAGGAGAAATGGAGCCAATGTATAATACAATTGTAGAAATATACAGATTAAAAACTGCAGAATTTTAAGTCAGCTTCCTGTAACAATCTAGTAATACTAAGAAAATACAGATATAGTAGAAAAAGTAAGGAAATTTTCACTACAAAAAACAATAGTTATTACTAAAAGAGAAAGTTGTTTGCAAAATATACCTCTCAGTGCAATACCAAAACATCATCTGAAATAACCTAATCAATGCCTGGAGGACATCTTATGGAAAGGGTCTTTTGAGTGGCATTTTCTTTCATTCAGTGCCTTGGATTCTGCCTCCAGGGGGACTCCAGAAACACTTTCAAAGGAAGTATCTGACAACTTGTGAGAATCAAGAACAATGCCAGACTGTGGCACAGGCAGTGATATATCTTTATCTGTTGCTTTTACAAACACCTGCTCTTTCATGATTTTGACCTTCTCAGTAAGCTCATTTCTTTCCATTTGCAGAGCCCTGAACATTTTCTCTAATCTATCCAATTTTATATGAAAAGCTCTGAACTCTTTGTCACAGAAATTTTTCTGAAAAAAAAAAAGAATTTATGGGACAACATTAAATACAGATTAAGTTCTAACACACAAGTTATGTGAACATGAAACAATTTATATTACTTTTTGAACCTCACCACATTCTACTTTGAATATTTAAGTTTATACTAATGCAACACAAGATTATCTGGTCTATTTTGTTTCCACTGAGTTTATTTGTACTTTTTAGGTATACAGTACAGTTACATTCATCACTGGGATCTTAAATGTTTACATGACAGGTTCTCATTTTTTCACCATTCCCATTTACCACCTTCACCCTTCCATATTTATAAAAACTTTGTTTCCATTATTTCTTTATGCCAAATGTACTTTTTGATTTTTTTATTAAAATTTGACTTAATTAAATATAATGGATAATGAGAATCTTAGTAAGAAAAACACCAGTAAAGATTGTCTGAGAGAAGTACAAATAATTGCATTTCAAGAGCTTTTTTGTAAAATACAAAATATAACTATTGGAAACTGTATATTTGTATAACTATTAGATACTGTATATTGGAGATGAAGCACATCTCCAAATTATAAACTCTGTCTCTTTGAATTAGTACAAAACACACTAGAATAATTATTTTCTCTTACCTGAAAACATCTTCAGTAAAAATTCAAAATGTTAAAAACAACAACAACAAAATATTACATCCCATTATTACTAAGAGCCACTACTCTTTTCCTCTGGTTTCAATTTTTCAATTCAGATAAATTATTTATCTACTACTAAATCAAGTCCATTACAAACTATACATCTGTTATAAGCTTACTATTACTAAAAATATTATAACTGATTTACTAAAAGTACTTTGAAGATATGTTAAGGAAAACACTAACACAAGTAAGAGTTTATTGAAGTTCTTATTTAAAAGCCAGGCATAATGGTGTATAATTGTAATTTCAGAAATTTGGGAGGCTGAGGCAAGAGGATCATAATTTTAAGTTCACATTGTGTAAGACTCTGCCTCAAAATAAGTTTTTTTGTTTTTTGTTTTTAAATGGAGCTGGGGATGTAGCTCAATGTGAAGACTAATAGGCTCAATCTTCAGTATAAACAATTAGTAAATAAAAATTTCAAGCTATTTTTACATGGATTTTTTTTCCTTTCTATCAAATCTATCTTTGAAAAGTGAATAACACTTTGAGAAAGACTTTGAGAATAACAAATGTGCCAATATTTTCTCATGAAATTTTGTAAATTAGCTATGAAATTTACAAAAGAAAAGACATTTAGTGATTACACATGGACTCTATTTCAAATGTTTTAACATCAAATCTGGCAAAATTTCTGTTTCCTTCTTAAAATAATAATTCACAGTAAATAAGCATGTGATGTTCTAGTTTTTGGTTGTTAGTGGAAATCTGAATATAATAATCTTTATACATCAGTAACTCTCAATGTCATGGTCCCTAAAATATACTCTAAATATTTATGAGAAATATGCATCACGATGTAATAAGTTAAAAACTATAGCATAGCAAAGCAATAATAATCACACCTACTGTTACTTTTTAGAAATGTAGTTCCATCCTGCCTCAACACTGAAATGAACATTCATTATTGAATAAGTCATGTACAATATTCTCACCTCTTCAGCCATTTGTAGAAGTATTTTATTATTATTTTCCCACTTGGTACGCCATACTGTCATTTCTTTCTCCCGCTCCTTAATTTTCCTAGTCATCTGTGAATTAATAAACACAAATTTAAATACTTCCCAACACACTACAAACATTACTTTAGATCATTACTTTCTATCATTACTTCATATCATAGCACTTACGTATACAAACTCAGAGTCATGTATGTATACCCTTTATAGGAAAAAGTGTGCCTGTCTTTTGTTAGCAAGATGATCTTGAGGAACACTGAGATGGTAATAGCAGGAACTAAATTTTTGGCTTCATATTAAGAAAGAAATCTGGTGACCTCAGTTTCAGAGAAAGCAGCAGGGAAACTTATCATATTCCATACCATATTTATTCTTCATTCAGGCTGCCATGCAGTTTCTCCCACCTGGGAGTAGACAGCTAAAGTCAAAACCTCCCATTTCCAAATGTCCATGTTTATGAGTTTTAGAGAGATGGCACATTAAACTGATCTACCCCTTGGAAGTATAGACTCTCAGCTCCACAGCACAGTAAGAACCCAAAACTATAACAGAAATAGACACAATAGAGTCAGGGATTTATTTCAGTTGTGCCAAACCTGCCTGGCAAGCAAAAGTTTTTAAGTTGATCCCCAGTATTGAAAAAAAGAAAAGAGACTAAAGAAGTACACACAGAATAATATAGATAAAGGATGAGGAAAAAATATAATACTGAGTCCTAACCTTTCTGCTTAACATATGATTTACATTTCAATTTTGTAGAAAATAAAATAGTCCAAAATGAAGGAAAACTATGCTACAAAAATTCAATTTTCAGCAACTCAGAGAAAAATTTAGTTTTTGTGGCTCTAAACTAATGAACCACATCCAAGAGATGTAAATGAAAACAATGTTAAGATTCAACTTCACTCCAGAAATTTGCTGCTATCAAAAATCAACTAGTAACAAGTGCTGGAAGGTTGTGAGGAATAAGGAACACCTTAGAAACAAAAGAACATAACAGATCCAACAGCTTAGCTTCAAGATGATGCAAAGAAGACTGAAGATTAATGGAAGAAGCATAAAGATGTGGAAATACCTTTTCATAGAAGTAATAGCAGAAAACTATCCAAGTATAGTGAAAAAAACCTACAGATAAGCACAGCACCAAAACCTTAAACAGCAATAAGCAAAAAGAATCTTCTTCACAAAATATTACAGTTAAAATAAGTCCAACACTAAAGAACACTTCTAAGAAATACTCTTAAAAGCAGTTAGAGAAAGGCACAAATCACTTATGATGGTAAGTGAATCCATCAGAATTATAGCAGACTCTTCAATACAAACCTTAAAGGCCAGGAGAGCACGGAGTGAATAGTTTCAGGTCCTACAAGACAAGAACATCCAACTAGATGTAAGTATCCTACAAAAGACTGGCTGAATAGACCAAGAAAAGAAACCCAAAGACATGAAGTATAGAAGAAATATGTTCAATTCAAAGAGAAATTCACAGATTAAAAATCATAGGACAGAAAACAACATTCATTTCAACAGGAACCCAGATAAAAGCAGGAATAGCTATTCTATCTTCAGAAAAAGAGTATTTCAGGCCAAAACTGGTCAAAAGAGGCAAAGAAGGTCAGTACATGTTGGATAAAGGAACAATTAAATCAGAAGAGACATAAATATAAACATGTACGCACCAAACACTAGTATGCCCAATCTCATAAAAAAAAACATTACTGGATATAAAAAATTATATAAAGCCAAACACAATTGTAATGGTTGTTCTCAATACTCTAGTATCAAAAATAGATTAACTAGACCAAACCAAACCAAACCAAGCAAATATCAGAGCTGAACCAAACTTTCAAAGAAATGGATTTGCTAGAAATCCAGTGTTTTATGCAATAACCACAGAACACATTCTCAGTAGCAATGGGACTGTCTCCAAAACAAATCATAAGCTAGCCCAAAGGGAAAGCTTAAGCATATGCAAATAAGAAGTAAAGTTATACCTACACATTATTATCAGATGTTAGTGCCAGTGAAACAAAAAAATCAATAGCAAAGAAACCACAGAAACTATACAAATGCATGAAACTAAATAATACACTCTAAAATAACTAATAAGTCATAGAAGAAATTAGTTACTAGAATCAAGAGCTAATGCCATTATATTATATCAGAATTTATGGGAAACAATGAAAGCAATCCTAGGAGGGAAGTTTACAGCTGTGAATGCTCAAACAGAGCGAGTTCAAGTAAGTAATCTAATGATGCACCACAAGGTCCCAGATAATAAGAACAGTAAAAATCCAGAGCTTGTACAAATAAGAAAAATATAAAGATCAGAGCAAAAGTTAAGGGAATTGAATCTAAAAAAACAATACAAAGAATTAATTTAAGAAGTGGTTCTTTGAAAGAATAAACCAAATAGACAAACCCCTAGCCCCATGATGGTGAACCTTTTACAGATGAAGTGCTCAAACTGATACCCAAACCTCACTATTTATCACTAAAGGCCAAAACTGCAATTAAACCCAAATACTGAGGTTTTAGTTTAGAAAAAACAACTCATATATTAGGCTTATGTGCCAATATAGAAAGGACTGTATCCCTGCTGGGGGACCCATACCTTAGTTCACTACCACTCCTTTACCCAATCTTAGCAAAATAAATGCAACTAGAAATTAAAAAGGTGAAATCATAACAGATCCACAAAACAAAGATTATTATTGACTACTTCAACATTGTTTACTATCATTAAATGGAGAATTCAGAAGAAATGAACTCCTAGATATGTATGAATTGCTGAAGTTAAAAACAAGACATAAAAATTCTGCACAATCTAGTATCAGGCAATGAAACTGAAGATGTAAAACAAAACAAAACACACATTAACTAAAGACACAAGCTCCTAATGGATTTATAGCCAAATTCTGCAAAAACTTTACAGAACATATAACACCAATAGAACTCAAATTCTTTAATGAAATAAAAAATAAAGGAGTATATTCTAAGTCATTCTTGGAACTAGATTTATCTTGACTGCAAAATCTGACCAAGATCAAACCAAAGAAGGCAACTACAGGCCTGTTTTTTAAACACAGATGGCAAAATCTTCAACAAGTTATTGGCAGACAGAGTGTACCATATCATCAAAAAATATCATACATCATGACCAAGTAGGATTCACCTTGAGATGCAAAGATGGTTCAACATAAAATTGAAGCACAAAATCCTCATGACCATATCAAGAGAAAAAGCCTTTGAGGAGGGCTAATACCCATTCATGATAAAACCCCAAAGGAAATAGCCCTAGAATATGTTATCTCAATCTGATAAAAATCATTTATGACAAACTAATAAATTCAGAATCAATGATCAATAATGTCTACTTATCACTACCTGAGAAGGTTCTTGAAACAGTGGCCAATTAGATAAGAGAAAAAAAATAAGACATAGGTTAGGAAGAAGTCAAATTAACATTATTTGCAAATGGTACAGTAAAAGACAAAAAAAAAAATTCTACCAAAAGATTCCTAGAGTAGTATTATTTGCAAATAATATGACAGAAAAAAAAAATTCAACAGAAGAGTCCTAGAACAATCAAACTAATGTGTATAATAGGACACAATATCAACACAGAAAAATTGTGTTCTTGTACACCAATAATAAACATAAATAGAAAGAAAAACAAGAAATCAGACTCTGCCAAATCAAGAAACTAGACACAGCAATAAAGAAATTAAGAGAAACAACTGTTCAGGATATTATCATAAAAAATTTAGGAAGTAAATTAACCAAGAAAGCAAAAGACCTCTATAATGAAAACACAGCAGTGTAAAGGAGAATAAAAAAAGTAAAGATATTCCTTATTTTTGGATAGACAAAAGTAATATATTAAAAACAGCCATATTTTCAAAACTGATATACAGATTTAAAGCAATCTCAATCAAAGTGTCATCAGAATTTCTCACAGAATTAAAGAAAACAATCCTAAAAATCAAGAGATCCAGAATAGCAAAACCAATTCTGGGCAACAAGAGCAAGGCAGAAATCATAAGCCTAGGCTTAAATTACACTACAAACTTGCAACAATAAAAATAAGACATGCTGGTATTGGCAAAACCAAAAAACAAAACAAAACAGAAACTCAAAAAAAGCAAACCAGATATACTAATCAGAGGACTAGAACAGAGAATGCAGAAACAACTCCAGGCACATTCAGCTATGTGATCTTTGATAACACGGCTAAAGATTTGTGATAAAACTGCCTCTTTATAAAATAGAATAGGCAAAACTGACTATCCTAATACTGAAGACTGAACCTAGACTTATAGTTCTTACCTTTTACTAAGTTAAAATCAAATGGGTCAAAACATAAATAATAAAACAGAAACACATCCTGTTGGAAGCTAAAATACGTAAAAGTCTTGAAGAGAAAGGCATAGATAATGACTTTATGAAAAGAATCCAACTGCATGAGAATACTAAGAATCAACAAACAGGATCATATCACATTAAAAAGCTTCTGCATTGCACAGAAAATAACACAGAAAGGAAATAAAAAAAAATTCAACCTCCTCCTGAAAACAACAGACCCAATCAGAAAAAAGGCAAATGAAATGAACAGACACTTCTCAGAAGTTCAAATGGCCAAAACATGAAAAAATGTTCAACATCTCTGTCTCTGACCTATTGAGAAATGCAAATAAAAGTTCAGATTCCACTTTACTCCAGGAAAAAAATGGTAACCATTAGGAAATCATATAAAGAATGCTAACAATATTGTAGGTAAAAGGAACACTTGAGAAACTAGATACATTTAGCTAAGTTGATTCACACTGAGGCCATACTCTTAAGTGAAATTAATAGGACACACATGTGTAAACACAATAACTTCTCTGAGATGAAAAACTAAAAGTGTAAATAAGAATCAAAATGTGTAACTGATATGTTTTGATACAAACAAAAGGTAAAGAGAAGTAGGGGAAGTGGTAAGGGTAGGGGGAAGGTAAGAAGGGAAAAGAAAAAATATGAGAGAAGAAAAAGATGGAAACAATGACTTTGTAAATAGGGAAGGGTAGAGG